ACATTTATTCAACGTTTGTGTTGTGAAAACTTCCATAATTATTCAAGATATCTGTCAATTAACAAACAAATACTATTTTTACTGTTAATTATTAATTTTAGAAATGTAATAACAGTATTAAAATAGAATTTAATACTTTAATCTATTGAATAAACTGTAAATATCAGAGAAAAATATATTTTAATCTTTTTATGTGAAAAAAGGACATTACAAGCAGTAATTTTATGATTATTTACAGTTACAGATTTTTCATGTTATTTTACATTAGACATCAAAATTCACAGGATATTGATGTAAAATAAACTGAAATCTGTTTCATCTTTTAAATCCCTAATAAAAAATGCACACTTATGATCAGACTTTTATGTGAATCTACACAATATTTCTCTTTGTGTATTCTTGTGACTTAGGGTTTTTATTTTTTAATATTTTTGAATTTTATTTTTAAGTATTTTTAAGTAGAATCATTTATTATTATCAATGATGATTAATTACTTATTTTTCAAGTCATGTAACGTTACGTTATCGTGTGTGTCGTCAAGGGGCTGCAATCTATTAACCCTCTGACCAGCAGAGGTTCTCAAACTGTGGTTGGTGACCTCCTGGTGGGGCTTGGAGTGACTGCAGGGGGGTCGAGGATGACCAGGGGAGAAATATGGAGTAAAACTACGTTAAATGATGTGATTTATGTCGGGAAACAAACAAGCAGCTGATGCCATCGTGCTGACCTTTATTCCACTGAATTTCAACATGGATCCTTCTTATGCTCTTCCTGTCATTATTTAAACAGATACCGCGTATATTGTCTATTTTAATCTCATCTATTGTATGAGCACCAGAATACCAAGGCAAATTCCTTGTATGTGATAACTTCTGATTCTGATGATTGATGACAAGAAAAGAAAATCTTTGAGAACCAGGGAATTAAAGGCCTTTTACTACTCTTCACTTCCATTGGTCGGTTTGGTTAAATACTTTTTACAGCAGAAAGACGTCCTCCACTGATGTTTCTGTTCACTCTGGTTCCTTCCCAGCTGTTGACGGTGTGAATGAAACATTAAAAATATAAAAAGTCCTGCACGCTGCATCAGGATCTCCTGGACTGTACATTCAAAGCTGGAGTGTGGCGCCCTCTGCAGGCCTAAAGCAGAACCCAAGTGCTAAAGGAAAGTACGCTGATATCATCCTGAAGCTCATTTTATAGAACAATCAGTTACAGAGGGAAATATGTCTGAGTGGATCATTAGTTGGTAGCCACTCAGCACAACCTGTTATAACAGATAACTGACATAAATGTATTAAAATTTGCCTTAAAAAAAAGAAAATACAAATGTCTAGTTTTAATTCAACTCTATTTTATTACCATAGCTGTTAGATCTATTTTATTGTTTTGTCTTTTTAACCCTCAAACTGTCGACCCCTCCTCCCATCGGCCCACATCATGATGTCAAAACTATAAAACTATCAAGATTCTTTTTCTGGTTGTTTAATATCAGTTTCTTACACAATTAAACTGTTTTCTAAAAAAATAGTTTGGCACAAAATAATTGAGTTCAAGGTTGCCCTCAAACTCTACTTTACATATGACTCCATTACACTTGTTGTCTCAGTGAGTGATCATACTGGTTCACTCTCTGAACTGCACTAACCTGTATGAAACGGTGATACACAAATCAAGTTTGATTGACATTTAGAAAGACTCATAAAGTGGATGTTAGCATGCTAGGCTAACAATCTTTGACTGGGAAAGAAAACGAGGCTCGGTGGTTTTATACATCCAGAGAACATTTTATTAATTCACTTCTTAAAAACTTTATCATTGCTCTTAAAGCGGCGGTGACGTCCACGCCGCTTCCTGTTCGGGTCTGAGAGCGCCGCGGGAGAAGAGAGGGACAAACAGTGGCAACCGTACAGAGAGACCGGAGGAGAGACGGAGAGCTGCAGACCTCCGACACAGACGGGTTCCTGACTCAGACAGGTTCCTGACGTTTACAGTGAAGGAGGTGACGGAGGTCTGAGCTCGCAGCTCTGCGGGTGAAGAGTGTAAACATGGAGGTACATCGTACAAAATACCGTATAAACACAGCGTGGCATTCGTGGAAAAAAATACAGAAAAATATAAATACAGAGTGTCGCGTTCTCTTCTCGTTCAACAGTTTGCAGAGAGGAAGCGGGTGAGGCTCTCAGAACCGACAGGGTGACGGCGGAGGATGATGAAGATGAAGATGATGCATGGCATTTCCTGGCGTTTTGACTGGCTGATCGATGGGCGTACGAGAAGGTGTGTGAAATAAATCCCTGACTGACTGTCCTGACTATACTGTCCCTCCAGAAACAGACGGAGGAGAAGAAGAGGAAGTGTACGAGAGGAGAACAAAGAAATAACGGAGCGGAGGAGAAAGCTACGGCGACAGACGTCATGTCAAATTTAAAATCCCTCCTGATACCGAGGAGAAAAGAGACGGGAAGGGAGCGTCACATGATTACAGGTGGAGAGAGAGAGGAAGGGGGGGAAAAAGATGGGATAAAGAGGAGAAGAGGACTTTGGATGAGAGGAAACAGGAGTCTTCATCTCACAGTCCGGTGTCGTTGTAGGTGGGCGTGACCACCTTCAGGATGCTCTGTGCGTTCTCCTCCACCAGAGGGCGCCACTTCACCTCTCCCGTCAGCAGCAGGTCCTCCCCGTCCAGAGCGTCGATGTACTGCATCTGCACAGAGTGGAGACACCTTCATCATCATCGTCAATGTCGTCAGGGAGCAGACACAGAGGAGGTCAAAGGTCAGAGACGCCTGACCTCCTTCCTCTATCTGAACTTCAGACTGTATTTGTGTATTTGGTGTCTGTTTAGTTGTTAGTGTTTTGATATGATGAAGAAGTTGAGGACAGGTATTCCAGTACAAACATACGGACAGCCTCAATCAGCTTTATAATAATTCTAATAATAATAATAAATAATAAACAAGCCTCCACCAACTCGTGCCGATAAATTTGACCACATTAACAAAGATTAAAAACCTTTCCTGTATATTTTCTTTGAGTTTCTGTACACAGTAATGTTTGAGTGGATACAAACACATGACGGATAAAGATAAAGAGCTCCAGGCTCTAAAAAGAGAGAACAATAAACAACCACTAGAATAAATAAGGTAGAAATAAAACTCTGTGCATTAATCTGCTGCTGGACCAAAGATATTTTTATACCGCTCTGTTCTACATCTTGGGACTAAAGACCTCGGCCCCGGAGGAGGAAGCTGAACTCAGAGTGCACCGATTGGACCAGGTTGGTCTGCAAACAGCTGGAGTTTAATGTAATTCTGCCACCATAACTGGGAAATGTGCCTATAATGTGAAAAACTGTTTTTGTTCAACTCAGTGAATTATTGTGACTGCAGTGTGTGTGTGTGT